TAAAAAGCATAAACAGAGAAAGAAGCAAAAAAAAAAAAATTCAAAGTGTTTGTGTGGATTTGTGGGATTGGGGAAGGGAAAAAAGGGGAAAATTGAGGAATTAGGGAAAAATGAGGAGGGAAGAAAAAATAAAGGGGAAATTTGATATTAAAAGGGAGAAAATAGAGGGAAAAATGGAGGGGAAATAGGAAAAGAAATGGGAAAAATTAAAGGGGAAATGGGGAGGAAGAAAAATAAAGGGAAGAGGAAAAAATGGGAGGAAGAAAATTAAAAGGAGAAATTGCAAAAAAGACATTGAGGGGAAAATAATGAAAAAATAGAGGGGAAAGAAATAATGGAGATAATAAAAGGAAAAGGGATAAATAAAAGGGGAAAATTAGGGAATAGGGGAGGAAATGGAAGAGAAATAAAGGAAAATAGAGGAGAAAACTGAAAAATGGGAAATAGAAGGAAAAATAAGGGGAAGCAAGAAGAAAAGGGGGAATAGAGGATAAATAGAAAAATAAATAAGAACTAGAGGATAAAAGGGAATAAAAAGAGGAAAATGGAGGGGAAATAGAAAATATAAGGGGAACATGGAGCAGTGGAAAAATAAAAGGGGAAAAGTTAAAGGAGAAAGAGAAAATGAAATAAATAAATGGAAAGGAGAAGGGGAAAGAGAAATAAAGGAAAATAGAAGGAAAATAGGGAAATAAGGGGAAATTGAGTGGGAAAAGGAGAAATAAAAGGGTAACAGAGAAAGAAAGGGGGAATAAAGAAAAAACATATGAATAAGTGGAAAATAAATAAAGTGGGAGATAGAGAAAAAAGAGAAAGAAAGGGGGAGAAATAAGGAAAAAAACCCAGAGGAATAAAGGCAGAAATAAGTTTAAAATCCAAACATAAGTTTAAAAACACAAAAGTAAATGTGGAGGTCAGAGCGGCGGGGCTGGGGGCTGGCCCAGAGGGTGATAGAGCGGCGGTACCGGGGTTCCAGAAGGTTCTGAGGGCCAGGAATGTTTTGGAATTCCCGAATTTCCGAATTCCCGGAATTCCAGGNTTTTTGGGATCCTGGGAATGGGATGGATTCCTGGGTCCTGGGAATGAGATGGATTCCTGGATCCCGGCTTTGGGATGGTTTTTGGGATCCTGGCATTGAGATGGATTCCTGGATCCTGGGAATGGGATGAATTTTTGGGATCCTGGGAATGGGATGATTTTTGGGATCCTGGGAATGAGATAGATTCCTGGATCCTGGGAATGGGATGGTTTTTGGGATCCTGGCTTTGGGATGGTTTTTGGGATCCTGGGAATGGGATGAATTTTTGGGATCCTGGGAATGAGATGGATTCCTGGATCCTGGGAATGGGATGAATTTTTGGGATCCTGGGAATGAGATGAATTTTTGGGATCCTGGGAATGAGATGAATTTTTGGGATCCTGGGAATGAGATAGATTCCTGGATCCTGGGAATGGGATGGATTCCTGGATCCCGGCTTTGGGATGGTTTTTGGGATCCTGGGAATGGGGTGAATTTTTGGGATCCCATCCTGTTGGGATGGCTTTGGATCCCAGGAGTGGAATGAATTCCTGGATCCCGGGAATGGGATGGGTTTTTGGGATCCTGGGAATGGGGTGGATTCCTGGATCCTGGGAATGGGATGGATTTTTGGGATCCTGGGAATGAGATGGATTCCTGGATCCTGGGAATGGGATGGATTTTGGGATCCTGGAATGGGATGAATTTTTGGGATCCTGGGAATGGGATGGATTCCTGGATCCTGGCATTGGGATGATTTTTGGGATCCTGGGAATGGGATGGATTCCTGGATCCTGGGAATGGGATGAATTTTGGGATCCTGGGAATGGGATGAATTTTTGGGATCCTGGGAATGGGATGGATTCCTGGATCCTGGGAATGGGATGGTTTTTGGGATCCTGGGAATGGGGTGAATTTTTGGGATCCTGGGAATGGGATGAATTTTTGGGATCCTGGAAATGGGATGGTTTTTGGGATCCTGGGAATGGGATGGATTCCTGGATCCTGGGAATGGGATGAATTTTTGGGATCCTGGGAATGGGATGATTTTTGGGGCAGGGAATTCTCAGGGCCGGAAGAGCCGATCCCAAGCAGGGAACTCCTCCTCTCCCACGGCTGATCCCGGGAAATCCACGGGATCGGAATTCAACCTCAGGAATCCGCGATGGGATCCCTTCAGTTCCTCAGACACCTGGCCTCGCTTGGGATGGAGAATTCCATGGAATTCCAGGAGGGAATCCAGCCTTGACCTGCACCAGAGAGGCCTCTTGGGGTGGATTAAATCCCGGGAAATCCACGGGATCGACCGGAACCAGGGCGGGAATTCCGCCCCAGGATCCCATCAGCTCCTTGGTGCATCCGGCTTCACTTGGAGCCAGAATTCCATGGAATTCCAGGAGGAAACTCAGCCTTAACCCGCGACCCCGCTGCTCCAGATTTGGGATCAGGGAAATTCCAGGAAATGGGAGGGGAGAGGGAGACGATCCCGAGAGTCTGGAATGCGCAAAAACCTGCGGGGCTGGGAATGAACTCGGGAATGAACCTGGGAATGATCCTGGGAATGATCCCGGGGATTATCCCGAAAATGATCCCAGGGATGATTCCAGGAACGATCCCAGGAACAATCCTGGGAATGATTTCAGGGATGATTTCAGGGATGATCTTGGGAATGATCCCGGACATGATCCCAGGAATGATCTTGAGAACAATGCCAGGATCGATCCTGAAAATGATCCCGGAAATGATCCAGGAACAATCCTGGAACAATCCCAGGAACAATCCCAGGAACGATCCCGAAAATGATCCCAGGAATGATCCAGGAACGATCCAGAAATGATCTTGGGGATGATCCCAGGAACAATCTTGAGAACAATCCCAGGATTGATCCTGAAAATTATTCTGGAAGTGATCCAGGAACGATCCCAGGAATGATCCTGGGAACGATCCCAAAAATGATCCTGGGAATGATCCCAGGAAAGATCCCAGGAACGATCCTGGAACAACCCCGGAAATGATCCAGGAATATTCCCAGGAATAATCCCAGGAATGATCCCAGGGATGATCCCGGGAATGATGCCAGTGATGATTCCAGGAACAATCCCAAACAACCTCAGGAACTATCTCAGGAGGGATCTTGAGAATGATCCCAGGAAAGATCCAGGAACAATCCCAGAAATGATCCCAGGAACAATCCCGGGAACGATCCAGGAATGATCCTGAAAATGATCCCAGGAACAATCCCAGAAACGATCCCAGGAACAATCCCAGAAATGATCCAGGAACAGTCCCGGGAATGATCCAGGAATGGCCTCGAAAGTGATCCCAGGAATAATCCTGGGAATGATCCTGGAACAACCCTGGGAATGATCCAGGGATGATGCCAGGAACGATCTTGAGAACAATCCCAGGAACAATCCCGAAAATGATCCCAGGAACGACCTCGGCAACAATCCCAGGAACGATCCCAAACAACTCCAGGAATGATCCCGGGAATGATCCCGAAAAATTATCCTGGGAATTATCCAGGAACGATCCTGAAAATTATCCCAGGAATAATCCCAGGAATGATCCCAGGAATGATCCCGGGTATGATCCTGGGAATAATCCTGGAACAACCCCAGGAATGATCCCGGAAAATTATCCTGGGAATGATCCAGGAATGATCCTGGAAACGATCCTGGGAATTATCCAGGAACAATCCTGAAAATTATCCCGGAATAATCCCAGGAATGATCCCGGGTATGATCCTGGGAATAATCCTGGAACAACCCCAGGAATGATCCCGGAAAATTATCCTGGGAATTATCCAGGAATTATCCTGGGAATGATCCAGGAATGATCCTGGGAATAATCCTGGAACAACCCCAGGAATGATCCCAGAAAATTATCCTGGGAATGATCCAGGAATGATCCTGGGAATGATCCAGGAACAATCCCAGGAATCCTCATCCCCACCCAATCCCGATTTTTGATCTACCTCTTAGCCATAGGTGACTCTAGGTAGGGGCGACTCCCCCCGGGTGTAGTTTTAGGGAGAGAAAAGGAAAATTAAATTTAAAAAAAT